GTTCAACTGGGTATTTAAGAGAGACTATAAACATATTCAGATGAGATGATAGCAAAGAAATGCTTTTATTTCTAATCTTCCTTGTCAGCTGAAGTAGCTAAATAGGTTGGCAAGGTATAAACATATGCAACAAAAAGCCATTTCATATGAATAGAAAATAACTGATACAAAGAGTATGTGGTATCGATTAAGTGCACACATGTCCCAGGTAATGCCAAGAAATTTTTGAGACAGTATTCGAATCAATGCACAAAACCCATCTGCTTAAGGCTAATACTTCTTTGGCAGGCTACCTCAGCTGTGGTACACAGATCTATTCCTTACCTGCTTACTGTGGGGCTTTTTTTTATTGATTCCATTACATTTCCCAATGTATCATTTAAGTAACCAGACCTCTGCTTCCTTGCATTCACATCAGGAGGTAAAACATATCTTACAACTACCAGGTCTGAAGCATTTCACACTCATTCTATGAACCCGTCTGTAGTTCAAGAAGATAAAGAGAAGGGACACAGAAAATATACAAGCTGAAGGACAATCACTGTCCTCTATCTGCACGTAATCTGGGAAGGAAACCTAACACAGAAAACTCACAGAAAATACACAAAATTAATAAAAAATAATAACCTATATTTAAAATATGAAAATATAAGCCAAAACCGATCTTTAAGACCCAAAATACTCATAATCTTAAGATTTAACTCTGAATACTGTGATTATCTAAAAAAGTAAAAAAAAATGCATAGGCACAGAAGAAGTAACTACAATATAAAAGATATAAATCCATTTCATGTTTCAGGACATACACCAATTTTAGCTAGGACTGACGAAGGTTTAATGCCTATGGGCAAACAACTGTTTCTATGAGAACCGTCAGCTCTCCCTGCCCTCAGCCTGTTTGCCCAAGACTGGCAGGGGACAACACGCCGCAAAAGGCAGGATCTGGAAGTCTGTAACCTCGTTATTTGTGCTGCCGCTTTGCCGCATCATTTGATGGAAACATTCCTATTCGCATTTAATGGCTGATATTATCACTCCACAACAGATTGAGTTGGACCGTGCTGCAGTAAAATCAACCAATAATAAACCGAGTGAAAGAGTGGGCATAAATCTCTTCTTACAATATTGTAATTAAATTCCACAAGAGCTAGTAATTTTAGCATTACAGTCTGGATTTTTTTTTTTTTTTTCATTCACCAACGAAATGTAAATCATACAGAGAAACTTGCTCAAAGTTGGGTTTTGCGTGACTTACTCTGCGGTGGTGACAGCCATTTATAACCGGTGAGACTGAGGGTAAAGTGTCAAAGTATTGAGATAAGCGCCTAATGCGGTGACAGCCAGGTGTTCTCACTTGAACTCAGATTTTGCTGTCTTCACCGGCACTACACGTCCCGCTCTATAAATCTCATAACAGTCATGTAAATATTTGACTGCTACTGCAAGTTTAAGTACGCCCCGGGCGGGCGCCGCGGGGAAAGCCTGGCTCAGGAAGGGCAGAAAATGTTGGGCTGAAAGAGGAGGAGGGAACAAAAAGAGTGAGAAACAGCAGAGGGAACACCAAGGTTGGAGAAGGAGAAGGAGGAGGAGGAGGTGCTCCATGCTGGAGGAGATGTCCACATGGCAGACCATGGAGGACCCATTCTGGAGCAGATGGATGTTCCTGAAGGAACTGCAGCCTGTGGAGACCCCACGCTGGAGCAGGGACAAAGTGTGAAGGGAAGGAGCAGCAGACAGAAATGTTTATGTACTGACCACCCTCCACCCTGACTTGTGCTGCCTGGGGGGAGGTACAGAGTCTGGAGCAAAGCTGAGTTTGGGAGAGGGGGGAGGAATGGTGTGGCTTTAATGTTTATTTTTGTTTCTTACTACCCAAATCTATTTTAACTGGCAATAAATTAAATTGATATTCCCCAAGTTGAGTCTGTTTTGTCTAGGACAGTAATCGGTAAGCGATCTCCCTGCCTTTATCTCAATCCACGAGCTTTCTCATCCTATTTTCCTCACCTGCCTCACTGAGGAGGTAGAGTGAGTGAGCAGCTGGGTGGGTGCCTGGTCCATAGCCAAGGCTAACCCACCACAGTTCTTCTGTCAGGGGCAGTCAGGCAAAAAAAAAAAATCTCTGCTTTTTCTGTGCATTTTTAGAAGAGAGATATTTGGTGATTTTAAACTCTGTAATTACATGCAGGTGTGTGTACACACAAGCACATCCACTTTTACTACATGCATTCTGCAAGGGAGTCCAAAATGCACTCTTTTAGAAAAAGAGGAGAGAAAAACTGCCACTGGCAAAAAACCCACTCCAAACTCAAATCCAGTCAGGATTAGGATGGTAAAGCTTGATTTCTGTTAACACTGACACTAGTGTTAAAACGCAGATATTGATACTTGTTTGATTGAGAATTTCAGGCTTTTTCTTCTAGAAAGAAAGCATTTACAGTTACGGGTCAGATACTGCAATGGATATGCTACCAAAACATAACATAGGGTGTCACTGTGGTTAAAGCTGCAAAAACAATACTTGGATTTCGACGTGAAGGAACCTATTGCCTCTTCTGTTAGCTGCCTCTCATCCATCACCTTACAGAACTACATCCTGCTCATGAAGGAAAGACAGAACTGCGTCAACTATGGTCATAACTTAATTGCTGAAAGGCTTCTTAGCAGCATAACTTCTGTATTACAGCAGCTGAACTCATAATGACATAGACGTAAATGGGTCCTCTTCAAGCTATTTAGGTTCGAACATGACATCTTGCAAGTCAACACAAATGCAATAATAGGTCTCAATTTCTGGGAACTATTTACATTACATACAAGAAATAGGAAAAACAGCATCAAAAGTAGGTGTTAGATATGATTCAAATGGCACGACTCTTCAACTCTGACTTGGGATATTTGCTTAGCTAGACATCCCTTTAAATGCAGACAAATATGTTTGTGTTCCTCCTAAGATACATTATAAATAAAAGCCCCAGGAGACTGTATGTCCCAACACTGCCTGATACCATTTCACTGGCACATCTTTGTCCTACAGGAAAAAGGGTGCCTTTTCCTTGAAGGATTTTTTTTTTTTTTAATTTGCTTATTCAACAGCAGTACTCTGACTCCACCATTTTACTCTTTAAGTCAATAAAAAACAGCAATCAAGCACAACATTACATGAGAACTAATTTTTACTAGTAAGTAATAGCAATACCTCTAGGACCTCACTCCAAGGATTTAAAATATTTAAAAATACCGTTGCATTATATCTCAGATTAATTCCTGAGCAGTGGCAGCATCCCTACCTTATTGGAAAGACAACTGAAATGTAGATTAATTAATTTTCTTAAAAACATGTCCTGGTTAATTACAAGCCTCACAAGGGAAAAAGGAGAAATTATAAAATCTCGTTTCCTCTGTTTCTTGCTTCAACTGTCAGGCCACCTTTCCTTACTGTTTTACTGCATAGTAATGTAATTGTCTCTCCCATGAGCATAATTTGCTTTTTTTATAAAAGATCTTTCTCTGAGCTTTCTCCATGGGAGCTTGTGGAAAAATGCAAAGAGAGTGAAGTATGGATTAAGTGACAAGTGTACTGCTAGTTTTATTCTAGATTACACACCAAATTAAAATTGCATTAACTTTCTTACACATCCTGAAATACCTCATTCTAGGTGGAGTTATTGTAGAATCATAGAATCATAGAATGTTTTGGGTTTGGAAGGGAACCCTAGAGGTCATCTAGTCCAACCCCCCTGCAGTGAGCAGGGACACCGCTAACTAGATCAGGTTGCTCAGAGCTCCATCCAACCTGGCCTTGAATATTTCCAGGGATGGGGCCACCACCCTCATTGTAAAGAATTTATTCCTTATATCCAGTCTAAACCTACCTTGCTTCAGTTTATAGCCATTACCCCTTGTCCTGTCACAGCTGACCCTACTAAAAAGATTTTCCCCATCTTTCCTATAGGCCCCCTTTAAGTACTGAAAGGCTGCAATCAGGTCTCCCCGCAGCCTTCTCTTCTCCAGGCTGAACAAGCTCAACTCTCTCAGCCTGTCCTCATAGGAGAGGTGCTCCAGCCCTCGGATCATTTTTGTGGCCCTCCTCTGGACCTGCTCCAACAGGTCCATGTCCTTCTTGTGCTGAGGGCTCCAGAGCTGGACGCAGTACTCCAGGTGAGGTCTCACCAGAGCAGAGTAGAGGGGCAGAATCACCTCCCTCGACCTGCTGGCCACGCTTCTCCTGATGCAGCCCAGAGTACGGTTGGCCTTCTGGGCTGCCAGCGCACATTGCCAGCTCATGTCCAGCTTTTCATCCACCAGCACCCCCAAGTCCCTCTCGGCAGGGCTGCTCTCGAGCCTTTCTTCCCCCAGACTGTATTGATACTGGGGTTATATGTTAATCTATTTGAGAATGACTGAAAGGAGGACAATAATACTTGTAAATTATATTGTAAAATGCTGAAATTTTTGATCAAATCTTGAAACAAATTAAATTCTCAAATTCAGAATATTATTGGCTACACTAACAGGCATTACACTAATACCTGGACCACTCAATGGCAAAATTAGAATTTTACTATAGAATTTTTATATAACAAGTTAAATTTTCATCATGAAATGTTCTCTAAACTCAGAAAATGGTCTTATACAATACTTAAACAAATATACAGCCTCCCAAATTAAAGAACTCATGAGTCACCTGTAAGTGGAATAGCGAAAATTTTGAAAAGACAAACAATCAAACAATAATGCAAACGTCTTAGAGGATCCAGCTTCACATGGGGGAAAGAGAATATCATTGTAGGTACACAGTCACTGCACTGGCATTTTCTGGTAAATGAGGACATTTTATAGTAAGTTAATGTGGACAAAACAATATCCTCAGAAGCCTGAGCATGCAAGCCTTTCTCATTTAATGGGTACTCTGCAAAGGCAGAGTGACTTGGCAAAATCAGAACATGTTATTTAAAAGAAACCATTAACTACTGGATTACATTTCCTTGAATACCTACCAAAAGCTGTCCAGCAAAGCAGATAAACAAAATGAAGGAAAGCAAGAGAAATGCAGCCCCAAATGAAATTCCAAGAATAGATGTTCTACGAGAAATAAGAAAACGTGTATTAATTTCTCTGTTACACATTTGTAGCATGACCTTTCTTTATGTATAATAATGATTATATGAAAAATTATCATGTGAAAGTTGCAACTTCCAAACATTAACACCATGGAAAAACAATTCCAATCCTTACCAGAATGACAGGCCTTTTTCCTGCCATTTTCTCAACTCAGGAATGCTTGAATTGGCTTTACCTCTCACTTTGCTAACCTATTACCATGAGACAATAATAATTTCCACACAAATAAATTAAATGACAGAGTGCATTAAGAGCAGCAACGTTTTGGTTTTTTTTGTTTTTACTTTAGAAAGCCTATATTAAATAAGATCCTTATTGCTTTATTTTTATGCTGTTGATTTTATAATTTAGGAGTCTAACAGGCATACAAAATTAATTTGTTGGTAGTGTCCATTCCCCCTAAAGGTAGAAAAAGCAATAGCATGGTACAATGATGCCCGGTTTTCAGTGTCTCACAGCTAGAACCTCTGATATCTGTGATCCTAGAGTCTCTCAGTCAGCAAGGGGCCTAGTATAGTGACTGCTATTTCATGAACAGATAGGTATTCAACACCTCTGAAAACTCCATTTTGTATCAGATTTGACTGGCTGGCCAGTAGATCCTGAAGTATCGGAGGACAGGAGAGGAAGGAAAACTAAACACCATGAAGAAAAGAAAAAACAACAACAGCCTTCAAATGAAAAAAAATTGCGTAATCTATACTCTTCCTGAAATCATCCTTACTCCACGTTCTAGCTCGTCTTTTTCTTGTATGTTACAAATAGGAAAGTCCAGCCAAAATAGCATCACTGGATTCTCAGCAAACAGAAAAAGGGATGCAGAAACAATTCGTGCATGCATTCAGTCTGCAAATGTGGAAATCTCCCTATATGAATGCCACAGTAGAGTGTAATTGCTCCATCAGGCACCAATTATGTTTAATGAATGCCAAGAGGAGATCAGAAGCTCTGGACCAACTGAGTTGTTTAAGCAAGCGAACTAGATGCTGCCATGAAGTCCCTCACCTAGGTGTCTGCTTTCATTTTAACCACAGATTTGACATTTTTACAGAATTTAAAAATCTCTCTCAACTCCTTTGTGCATCAGCAGATCTCTTATTTTATCAAACCTTATATGCTAGAAATGTCAGCATGACGGTTTAGAAATAAGTTTTATATCCCTTGTTTTTTCCACAAAACCATAATAAAAGTTACATGCTAAGTTAGCTCCTCCCTAAACGTGTGATTCAGAGTTAAAATACATATTTAATAAAACCATATATCTCTGTTCTTTAAAGATGCCACCTGAATACAAATATATACATTTTAGAAACTGTAATACTAAAAATTTAGGAGTAGAACTCTGTGGATCAATTTCCTTAGTTACATACAAATATTGGAAAACATTTTGATCTGTTTCAACAAGAGTGTTAAAGAAGCTATTTTCAGGAAAGAACAAAAAGGCATTAACTTCACAAACCAATTTGATGCCATACTGCTGCCATTAAAAGCACTTTGGAGGATAATTTATGAGCTTCCCTGCCAATCATTCAGAGAACCTCTTATATGCTACGTATTCATCAGATTTTGGGTCGATGCAAACAGCTAATGAAAAACAAGCAACTGGCAATTCACAACATATATTAATCTTGAAATAATGTTTCTTTTAGAAGTTATTTGAAAATCATTATTGCTTATGAATACGTGTTCTGCAAGAATTTCTCATCGAGGCTAGGACAGTAAGCTGTACATCAGTGTATGGAAAGCTATGGTCTCTACTCTTAGGAATTTAAAATCTAGTAAGCAACAGAAGAGATGACAGAAAAGGAATATAATTAACAGGCTTATTTTTCGTATATGCATAAACACTTCTCATCATTTATGCTCTTCAGTAACCATTCCTGCATTTCAAACTATTGCTAGTCTTTCCCTGATATGAAGGATACAAAAAAGGAGCCTGCACACCTTAAGAAATGATTCAGCTCGAGAATAGCTTTATGAGTCAAGTTTGGAGTGCATCCATGTAGAAGAAGAAATGCAGATGTTTGTGAGAGAAACTGGAGAGCAAGGGAAATAAAATTAACATGGCATAAAGAGAGCTTACGCAAAGAGTACTTAATCACGTGGGCAACAGTCAAGAACAAAAGGTCTTTGTAGCTGTTTTACATGATCAATGATGTTACTGGGGTGGCATAAGAAAAGGAATTACATAGCAAGGTGAACACGATTCTGATTACCAGGACAAAGAGAAAAGAACTAAGGGTAAGCAAAAGGAAAAGTGGTATCTTATAATCCAGATTTGAGGAGTGAATACAGAGAAAAAAAGTTGTACGATTTTTGCTCGCCACACCCCCTTCTTTTCTAGGACCAGCAGGACTTCTGTTTCAGTTTAGGCTAAGCCAAAATAGTTTCATGCTGCTGCTAGAAGGAAAGAAGTGGGCTGAAAATGCTGTCACAGGAATCAAAATACTAAAAATTAAGTGCCACCATAAACATGCCTCATTTGAGGCAATGACCATAGGAAAGCCATAATATGCATTTATTCTTTGTCACTGGAACATTATGAAAACAGTATAGGACTTTACAGTAAACTAATCTTGCCTTTATTGTGTAGAGTCATCAAACACATCGCACAAGTCACCAAACACATTGCATTGGTAGATTCAGGCAAACCTTTTTGTCAAAAGAGCACCTGGGATCCCATAAGCCAGCTAACTTTTTACCTGCCTCTTCCTATGCTTTCAAGGAATTCCCTCATTTCTGAAAGGTCTGCTCTCTGCTGCGGTGCCCCGCCAGGAGCCCTGACAGGACAACCCCTGACAATAACCTACAGAGGGACAGAGTTTCAAACTGAGGAAACAATATGAGAACTTCCCACGCTTCAGACAGTTCCAAGTCTAAATAATTTATGATCTTGGCTATCCTTCTCACATTTTTCTGGTTTCATCAGTAAATACCTGTTTTGAATAATTAATTTGTATCAGGTGGTATGAGATTGGAAAAAAAATATATTTATACATACTTATGTCTTGTTGGTACCATTTTAACTGAGAAATAAAAATTTATTATGAAGATAAAGATACTGAAAAATGAAGGAAAGAACATATTCTTTCTACACTTTTGTAACTTTTAGGAAAATATGTGACTTATGGCACATGTCCCTTAATGGGACATAGAGAATTTCCTTAGCTTGCCAGGAAATTAACATTCATGTTTTGAAATATTTGATTGCAAATTCTCTTGAGGTGATAAAAGCATAATGAAGCAATTACAAATGACAACTATACAAGGCAATACTGAATTCAGACATTTTTGGTATCTAACAGTAGCGACTTCTATCTTAATTCAACTGATGCTTTCAATAAGCCATCAGTGGATTCAATGGCTATGTAGACTAACTGGATGGCAGTTTCAGTGTTAAGAAAAATCATTTGAGTACTGTAACTCTACTTGAGGGTTCTTTTTAAATCAGATACATCTGCTGGAAAACCAACATGACAAGCTGTAGGCAATCCAGCAGGTTTCTCGAATGCATTGAGGACAACTTCTTAAGCCAGGTAATAGACACCCCTACCCAAGGGGATGCGAGAATGGACCTGGTGGTCACCAATGCAAGCGAGCTCGTCGGAGATGTCAAGTTCGGAGGCAGCCTGGGCTGCAGTGATCATGCAATGGTAGAGCTCACGCTCCTGAGGGAAATGGGAAGAACAAAGAGTATAGTCAGGACCCTGAATTTTAGAAAAGCAAACTTCCAGCTCCTCAAGGAGATAGTCAGAAGGACTCCCTGGGAAACGGTCCTCAGGGACAGGGGAACAGACAGAGCTGGCAGATCTTTAAGGGTGTGATCCACAGAGCGCAAGAGCTCTCGA